CCCCAAAACCCCAAAACCCCAAAACCCCAAAACCCCAAAACCCCATATAAGTGTGATGTTCTGGACGTCTATAAATTAATAATCTAATGGATTCTGATACTACAAGAATATGCAAAATAGCGACTTTTAACCTAAACCAATGGGCCATGGACTTCGAACACAACAAAGCCAACATCATTGACTCCATCAAACAGGCTGAAGAGGCAGGTGCCACCATCAGGTTCGGCTCTGAGCTTGAAATTCCAGGTTATGGGTGTGAAGACCACTTCCTTGAAATGGACACCATCAATCACTCATGGGAGGTCCTGGCTGAGATCATTGAAGAAGGGTGGACTGACAACATAATCTGAGACATTGGGATTCCGACATATCACAAATCGTTCTTGTATAACTGTAGGGCCATTGTGTACAAGCGCAAGATCCATTTATTGAGACCGAAAATCTTGCTTTCATTCGAGCAAAATTACAGAGAGACAAGGTAAATAGATATCTTAAAGCTTTAGATGGTTCCAATCGTGGACAAATATCAAGAAGATAGAAGATTTTATCCTACCTAAGGTCATCACAGATTTGACAGAACAGAAAACAACCAAGATTGGAATTGCAATAGTGAGACTGAATGATACTGAGTTTGCTCATGAGATTTGTCAAGAAATGTTCGAGCCTGCAAGCCCTGCAGCTGAACTATACCTTGATGGAGCAGAAATAATTTGTAATAGCTCTGGATCTCACCATCATTTGAGGAAGCTAAACAAGAGGTTGCAGTTGATCACAACGTCAACTCATAAAAGCGGGGGAGTCTATGTTTACTCTAATCAGCAAGGCTGTGATGGCGGAAGGCTTTACTTTGATGGAAGCTCTTTGATTGCAATGAATGGCCAAGTGATCTCTCAAGGCTCCCAATTCAGCATCAAAAACATAGAAGGTGTCTATGCTGTTGTTAATCTCGATGACATCAGGAATTATCGGAGGGAGATTAGGAACAAAAGCCTTAGGGATTCTGATGAACCAGAGTTTCCAAGAGTCACTATCGATTATAACTTGTGTCAACATGATTTCTTTGATCTGACTGAACCTCAAGGGGAGCCCAGAATTCATAAGCCAATGGAAGAAATTAGCCTAGGTCCAGCTCTATGGCTCTGGGACTATCTTAGACGCTCAGGAGCTCGTGGATATTTTCTCCCACTCTCTGGAGGGCTTGATAGCGCATCAGTTGCAACAATAGTTGGGTCAATGTGTACCCTTGTGTACCAAGCAATTGCTGATGATAAAAACGAGGAAGTACTTGCAGACTTGAGAAAAATCACTAAACAAGAGGACTTCATGCCAGAATCCCCAAAAGATGTAGCTGCACAGGTACTAAATTGCTGCTATATGGGTACAAAGAACTCTTCTGAGGAAACTCTTAAAAGAGCCAAGAAACTGTCTGAAGATATTGGATTCAATTTTTACAATGTCGAAATTGATGACTTGTTTGATGCAACAAAAACTTTATTCCAAAATATGACAGGAAAAGAGCCAAAGTTTGAAGTACATGGAGGGACTTATCTTGAAGATCTTGCCTTGCAAAATATTCAAGCTAGGCAAAGGATGGTACTATCTTACCTCATGGCTCAACTCATGCCATGGGTGAGTGAACAAAAGGGATTCTTATTGGTGCTTGGATCTGCAAATCTTGATGAAGGCTTAAGAGGATACATGACTAAGTATGATTGCAGCTCAGCTGATGTAAATCCTATTGGGGGAATTAATAAGAGTGATCTTAAGGCCTTCATTGCGTATGCTAAGGACAAGCTAAATTATCCATCCCTTCAAGATATTCTTGATGCCAAGCCATCTGCTGAGCTTAGGCCAATTGAAGACAAGACAAAAGATTCCACTCAAGTTGATGAAGAAGAAATGGGAATGACTTATGATGAGCTCAATCAATTCGGAAGACTCAGGAAAATGGGCAAATGTGGTCCTGTCTCTATGTTCAAAGAGCTACTTCAAAAGTGGAAAGATCTTACACCAAAGGAGGTTGCTGAAAAAGTAAAGAGATTCTTTTTCTATTACTCTGTGAACAGACATAAGGCTACTACTATTACTCCTGCTTACCATGCAGAGGACTACAGTATGGATGATAACAGGTTTGATCATCGCCAATTCTTGTACAACACGAGCTGGGAGTATCAATTTAAAAGAATTGACAAGCTAGTTGAATACTACACTGAAAAGAAGAAGCAAACATAATTTTTGGAAAAGTCAATATAATTCCTAAATTAAGGGGTTTTGGGGTTTTGGGGTTTTGGGGTTTTGGGG